ACAACAAAAATAAAATTAAACAAACGACTCTATTCTCTCAGACCTATTCTAGGTAAGTTCTCAAAACTATCCCTCACAACCAAAATTCATATCTACAATCTCCTCCTTAAGCCAATATGGTTATACGGTATTCAGGTCTGGGGCACTGCCAAAAAATCGAATATTCAAAAAATACAAGTGTTCCAATCTAAAATCCTCAGACTCATAACTAATTCTCCTCCTTATATCTCTAATCACACCCTTCATACTGATCTCCATATTCCTAAAGTCACTGAAACAGTCAAGCTATTTTATTCCAAATTCATATATCGCCTTCATAATCACACTAATCCTCATGTTAAAAAGTTACTATCCATCTCCATCCCTGGAGAACCCCCTGGAAGACTCAAGCGACAATGGCCTCGAGATCTTATAAATTAAATTTAAATAAAAAAATAAATAAAATCCTAAATAATTTGTAAATTCACGCCGAAGTACTGGTTGGTTCTTCCCTCAAGATACTCAAGCTAATATATATATATATAATATAACATCACTAATGCTTATTGTACTTTATTTTTTATGTACAGATTGTATAAAATCCAGATTAAAAATAAATAATATCAATGTTTATATTTGATAATATGAATGAATAACAAATTAAAATTATTTGTGTATGTTTTTAATAGCACTACCTATAATAATATTGTATGGGGATATATTTTCAATTAATAAGATATAATCATATGAATTTATTATAATTATTTAACATTTTATTTTACTAACATGTTTTTTTATTATTATTATTATTATTATTGATGTATATTTTTAAAGTGTATAACTATGATATTTTTACAGTTTTTTATTTAAATTATGATATTTTACCATGATTTTATACAATTTCAGATATTCTTACCTATTTTTTATTAAAAATGTATACAATGTTTCCATATGTTTAAATGTGTTTTCATTAAGACGATTATATTTGATAAGGTATGGTTTTGTGACTACAAAATTTTAGTTTTATTTTAAAAATTTCAGAATAAAGCAATGTTTTTACTTTTTAATAATTCATCGATAAAGTTATATTCCTACATGAATTGTTGTATTTTTATTAAGTATTATAAGTAATGTATAGTTATGAATAAGATATTTACCATTATAATCATAAATGTTTTCAGCCGGCGTAAAAAAATCTTGAATTTCTCGCTTGGTTATGGTTGGTTGTTGTTTGATTACAATATTAGAAC